ACTATTCATAGGGTTGTTGTGACGATAGTACATGTCAAGCTGTTAGAGAACAGTATTTGGCACCTAGGAATCACACAATAGTGATCATTAGTATCATTTCATAAAGGCAAATGCTTTATTACAAATGTAGAACAGTAAGATAGGCTCCTAACATTTTAGGACTAACAAATATACTGGCCTCCTTGCTATTCTTCAAACATGCCAGACATACTGTATTTTGCCATATGTGTGCTCCTGTGTATAATGTGTACCCATGTTTTTGGCCCAAATTTTCAGGAAAGAAAATCTTCAATTTTATTTTTTAGTTCTATTTTTTACTTATTTGTATTTAGAAACAAAACTAATTATCTTATTCCAGGGTATTATTTTGCATCCAGATATTATTGCTTTTCAGAGTTACACTTTTAATGCACAAGAATAAAAGAATTAAAAACATTTATATAGATACGGAATTAGTACTACCCACATATAATGCACATCCTTATTTTTCCCTAAAAAATTTGGACAAAAATGTGCACATTATACATGGAAAAATACAGTACCTCATACTCCTCCCTCAGGACCTTTCCACTGGTTATTCCCTCTGCCTAGAATGTACACTATGGGCTCCCAATCACCACCTTCAGGTGTTTGCTCAAAAGTCACCTTATGAATGAGGCCTAACCTAATCACAACCTTACTGAAAACTGCAACCCACTTTCCTTCTTAAGCCTGCTCTACATTTCCCCAATCTCCTTGTTATGTATTATATAATTTACTTTTTATTATGGTTACTGAGTCTCCCCTTGATTAAGCAACATAACTCAGTGGCAGAAAGCAAATAAACTTTTTGTTATTTTAACTTTGGTTTTTTATTCACTGACATATCCCAAGCAGGTGCTGAAATATTTTGTTATCGTCATTGGGTCTAATCCCTTCTCTTTACAGATGAGGAAAATTCAAAGAGACTTTGATCAAGGTCACCCAGTGAGTAAAGGAAAGTGCTAGAAACAGGGACTGACTCCCAGTTCAGTGCCATTTCTACTATAGCCTATGATCTCCCTGACCCTTGAACATTACAGAAAAATCACAATCATCCACCATTTTCCCCCAGGAGAATTTACCTTTGGAATGTCTTGGCTTTGCAAATGCTGCTGTGTCTGAAACAAAAAAATGCTTTGAAAGGCGGTGGAAGCCTGTACTGGAATTCTAAGTGTTGATAGATGAACAGAGAAGATGGCTGATTTAGAAGGGCTATCCCAAAGCTTTGAAAGAAGGTCTGCTGTTGTAATTGTTTCTGATGAATCAAAAACAAGATGGTTGCCACTATGGCTAGATAGCAAAATGATGCTATCCATACATGCTGGCTGTTGCTGTGCTAGGTTTTTCTGCAGGGGAAAAGACTGTTCTCTAATGCCTAAGAACTTGAAGTTGCTCTAAAAATTGTATTACATATTTTTGCTGCTGGTTGTAACCATTGTTGCAAAGGAGGTGTAATCTAGACCATGTTTGTAATGGCCTTTGGAATACCTAGTAATGGATGAACTTGGTTAGATGCCTGTGAATGAGGTACCTGCTGTTGGAAAAGAGCATATTGGCTACACAGAGAATGCTGTTGATTTATGTGACCTTCTTGAGTAGACAACTGATGGCTTTTCTGTGTTTGTTCACGAGATAAGTGAATTATCTGCTGATGCAGAATGAAAGCTGAGTGAGAAACCTGCCTTGGTGTTAGATGTGACTTGGAAAGCTATGCAGAGAAGTATGAGGGCTGGATCTGGGCCTTGAAGGGGTCTGCTAAATGAAAGACATCTGTGCAGGGTGTTGAAACTGGCTTTCCATGGCCCTCTGAGATGTAATGCTGGTTGACTGGACTTTAAGCTGCCGGAGTCCTAGATTGACATCTGCTTGGGATGGAGCTTCTAAATGCTGGAAATTAAGTAAAGGCTCTGTAGAACGTGTCTGTGTATCTGAGGTTAACGTTAAATACGCCTTTTGTTAAAGATATTACCTTGGTGTTGTGTTAAATAGGCTGGTTGTTCACATGTCTGTGCTACACAAGGTGGACCTGAGTATAACTTCTATTATTTTAATTCACTCCTCACCTGAGGACATTCTTTCACTGCTCTCAGTGGGGGGTGGAGGGGGAGGAGGAGAGAGACAGAGAGAGACCACATTGATGCGAGAGAGAAACATCAATGGGCTGTCTTCCATTCGCACCCGGACAAAGGATCAAATCCACAACCTAGGCATGTGCCCTGACCAGGAATTGCATCTGCAGCCTTTCAGTGAATGGGACAATGCTCCAACCAACTGAGCCATAGTGGCCAGGGCTGAGTATAAACTTCTGATCTACAGAGTTTGTAATTAGTATGTACTTCATTAGTATTGGAAGGGTTCACTGTGTATATTTGCTAGGTTACGAAGGTTGTCTATTCAGTTGTCTGGATGGTGGAAACAGTTTCTCCTGAATAAGGGACACGCCTCAGATGCAGTGCCTTCTAAGACGGCTGTTCCACAGGTTGTACAGGGTTAGCTACTTGGATCCTATATGCTGGCTGGTCTGAAAAAGATGACTAAACAAGAGATTGCACTGGACGAGCAGGCTTCCCTTGGACTGGCGCTGAGTAAGAGGGCTTTAGTAATGGGTGGAACTTGATAAGAAGTCTGCATAGAATAAATTGGCTGTCATCCCAGTGGTTGTACAGTATAAGAGAATGCTCTGGGGCTGGCAGTGAACAAACAGGCTGTGCTAGAGTCTAGATGGGGAAGTTGACTGTGATGGGTAAGAAGCTTGTTCTCAGGGATTTATCAGAAGGGGCAGCTGCTCAAGAGCCTTCAATGGGAAGGATGGAATTTCTGTAGGTGTCCTGGATAAAGGTGTTAAACAGAATAAGATGGCTGTTCAAGGGGCTGATTCACATTTTTTTTAAAAATTGCCCAAGAAGTTTTTTCTTGTACAAACACCAGCAGTTTGTAAAAAGGCACACAAAAATACAGCATGTAAAAGAAAAAACTGTTGCCAGCATAATACCCAAAAGCAGCTTATAAAACACAAGCTACTCAGGTGAGACATCAGTAACCTACTTCCCACCTGTTCTCCAAAGACAGTTTCAGAAGTCAGTTGGCTACTGAAAATCAAGCTCCAAAATGTAGAGAGGCTTTTTCCACATTTCCACTGGAGTTTTCTGGTGCCAAGAGACAACCTCAGAAATAGACCATCATGCATAATAGGTTTATTAGTAGCAGGTGGCTTTCCAAAGCCACATAAAGCCTTCTACCAATCTTGTTCCTCCCCCACTTTCAAGTCCACAGCCAGCAGATACCTGCTGCCCTGGACAGAGTTCTGGAGGGGAGCTGTTCCTTCATACAGACTAGGCTTATGGGTTCCTGAAGTGTCCTACAAGACACTGCAGGGTTGGCTACCTTTCACAGACTGAAGGCTACACTGGAATCCACTTGGAGGTGCCCACCTGGGGCAAAAACCATCACAATCCATTAAACAGAGTTCCCACCAGGAGGCCAGGCCACCTTTTGGAGGACTGGATGAGTACCAGCAGCTCTCGCAGTAAAAACTTCAGTAAGGCCCAGATTTTGGGAAAGGGATCCTGACTCATGCCAGGAAAGCAGGTGGCCCAAGGGTGGCTGGAGAAATAGCAAGCTCCTTGGAGTTATGCAAGAGCAAGGACAGATCTGCATGGTTCTACTACAACTTCAAACTTAGCACTCAGGGATTGAGATGAGAGGGAGCTGGGAAATAAGAAGTGGTACATACAATTCTCTCTTCAGGAGCCTAACATCTGCCTTGAGAAAAGATTCCAAGACAGAAGATACCTGAGTGGGGAACAAATTCAAAGCCAGGGCTCTAAGCCATCTCCAGGCTAGGACCCACTTCCCTGTGTCTTAGGGAAATATTTTTGACTTGTAAGAAAGGGTCAAAAATATTTCCCATTGCATGTAGAGCCCATTGAATAATAAAGGCGGAAAGAAACAAAAAAAAAAGTCCCTTATAAGGACAGAATTGTCTCTCCCTCAGAGGAAAGAGCCCAGAGGGTTTTGAGACAAAGAATCTAGAGGTTAAGCTCTTTAAATGTTCTCAAAGTCACAGCATTGAGAGTGGGAGGAAGGGTATCATCTAACATTTTATATACATACATATATATATATTAAAGGTTTTCAACTCCTCATCTACTGTAAAGTGTCTGACAGTGAGGTAATGGTTCATGTTGATCAAGTCTGTGAGCTTGTCTTCACCCAAGACAGCTCATGTGTCTCTTGGAAAAAGGAGGCTCAGGGAGAACAACCAGGCCCGGCTGTCCTATCATCACCCCAGAAAGCAGTAGGAGCATCCTTTCCCAGCCTAATGCTCATCTGGAGGGTGACATTTCATGCAGGCTAGAGGCCCTAACCATATCCACCACCCATTGCATAGCATCTGTCAGACTTTTCTCCAAAGCTAGTGAACTAGGTAGACCCCAGGGCTCCTCAGTCAGCTATCTGCCTGAGAAGCCAAAGGTGCTAGAGAAGACCCAGTGCTCCCATGAGTCAGGGGAAAGGGAGAGCTGGGGTTCTTGGTTTCCAAGAATGCAAGCCCTTATTGTGTGCACTGGCTGCAAAGTATCCTGAGATCTACTGTCTAGAAATTCCTACTCATAACCAAAATGTGCAAATTACTAAAGGGGAGAGGGAAGGTTAAATAATAAAGTCCGGCCCTGGCCAGTGCAGCTCAGTTAGTTGCAGCATTCTCCCATGAACCAAAAGGTCACTGGTTTGATTCCTGGTCAGGGCACATATCTAGGTTGTGAGTTCGGTCCCTATTTGGGGAACATACATGCAAGGCAACCAATCAATGTTTCTCTCTCACATTGCTGCTTCTTTCCCTCTCTATCTCCCCGCCTTCCCCTCTTTCTAAAAACAATCATGTCCTCGAATGAGGACAAAAAAAATTTTAATAAAAAATAAAAACAAAATTAAAAAATAAAATAAACTTGTAAGAAAGAGAAGTCAGGCTTTTTGGTCTGTTAGTAGCTACTGAGGTATGCAATTCTTTTCTGCAGCTGCTGCTGCCGGGATCGGAGCTGCCTTTTCTCTGTAGCCAATCTCTTCTCAGCCCCAACCAGGGCTTGCACATATTCCAACGCCTTTCTCAGGATCACCACTTTGGGGGCCTTAGAGCAGCCGGCCAGGGCAGGTATCTGGTTCCTCAGGGCCAAGAACCTCCAACGGAGATCATTCCGCCTTTTACGCTCCAGGAGGTTGTGTTTTTCCCTCTTGGTCACATCCTCAGTATCAGAACTGAGAGGTTTGGGATGGCAGGACTGGGGAGCCTCACTTTCTATAGGTGGGGGGCTCACAACCACTTCATGTATCTCATCCTCCGTCTCCTCTGGATCATCTATCTCCAGAGCCTCTTCTTGGGAACCTCTCTTTGGAGGTCCTCCACGGGAACAGCTTTCTGGAGGAAAACGGGCAGCATAGTTGTGTTGTTGCTGATGGACGGCGACGTGGAAGTGTTTCATGCATGGGTCCAAAGAGTCTGCTTGTACCATGATGGTAACCGGTTTCCGTACTCCCAGGGGCTGTCTCTTCTTCACTGTCACAACACCAATTTCTTCACCCTCTAAGTCACTAGGGCTCTCGGACCCTGAGATGGCCTGGGTTTTAGGCTCGCCCAGTGTACATACGGCAGCAGGCACCGGGTTACGGACTTCGAGGCTAGGAGTGCGGTCCGGGATACCGGGCACCTTGGATGGGTTCCCCCCAGGCACACTAGTGGTGAGCCGACTGCTCACCACTCTCTCCAGCCGTTCCAGGGCTGAGAAGCCACTCCACATGCAGTCACGGCGGATGATGGAAGCATAGTTCCTGCCCCAAACTTTTGAGTGGCCCCGGGATTCTACCTCATCCCCTGTGCCCCCTGCAGGCCATGGCTCTGTGGAACCAATTCCAGGGGTCAGATCCCTGATGCCGGGACCTGAGCCCCACGGTGACATAGGGGGTGATGGCACCAGCTCGAATTTCTTCCAGATGTCCTCACTGGGCAATGTAGAGCGGTAGAAATCTTCCCCACAGTCATAGTCATAGAAATAGTGTTGGTATGAGTTGAACTCCACATCTGCTCCCTCACACCTACCACCTGCCCCAGGGAGCGGACCCACTTCAGGCCGCTGAATCACATTTTCAGTACCACCCTTTGGCTGCCGCCGACTTGCATGAGCTTCAGGTTCTCGCAGAACACAATCCTGCTGAACGTTTTTTTGTGGTGATGCCATAATCTTAGGTTGTAAAATTAATGGCTGCTGCTGAATAGAGGCTTGGCAACAAGGCTTCTTCAAAAGTATTATCTGACTCTGTGGCACAGAAGAACCTGGAGTTATAGACTCCTGATGTGCCACTGGGTATGGCCGGGATACTGAGTGTATCTTTTGTGAAGGCTGATGGGCCCCTGAATGGCCCTCAATGGAACTAGAAAGGAGTTGTGCTGCACAAGCAGCATTCCGTGCACTGCTCACATGTTGAGCAGAAGAATGATTTGACAAAGCTTGACGGTGTTTAACTGGTAAGAAATTAGAAGTCTGATTGGCATCTGGTGATTTGGTTAATCCCTGATTCCGATTTCTAGGGCCAAGCTCAAGTTGAAGACCAGCTGTCGGATGCTGGGAAGTAACATGTGAAGCAGGCAATGTATGAGGAGAAATTGCAGAAAAGACTGGTTGTGGAACTCCAGTAACGGGCAAGTCTAAAATCATAGGTTGGGATGAAGTTTGTCCATCTGCTCCAAAGCTCAGCTGTAGTTCCTGGTGCTGGTGCAAGGAAAATTTAAATTATGAATGCATAGAACAAGCCCATCATAATGGGACTGTCCCAGACAAAATGATAGGTGAAATAATGCTATCTTCCAAAAGTTTCATCAAGTTACCAAAAGACTCTGGGTATAACATTAATCCTATAAAAATCCCAATACCATGAGTATACTAGTTGAATACACTAATGAGCTGAGACCAGTGCCAGCAATATGCTGTTCATGGATTTCCATTTATTACAACTGCCACATTACTCATTCAAAACCTGGCTGAGATTCAGAGTAACTGAACCTGACACCTTCACACACCACACAGTGGAAGTTCCAAGAAAAGGCTCAAAAGAATTCAATATAAAAACTAAAATGAACATAGAAGCTCTCTTAAGAGGAGAGAAAAAAGTAGGCTGTATAAATACAGGTTAGCTGTAGTAAGTCCTAGAACTTCAACCATTACACTAATAAAAAGACCCCAATGGTGAAAGTGCTTTCTTATGTAGCTTCAGGTGAAATGGACAGGCTACAAAATAGTATGTATGTGATGTTTGTGCCTAACAAAATTATGTATGTATACATAGAAAAAGATAAATCTAGAGGCTTTATCCCCAAAATGTAAAAAATAAATTGTCTGTAACTGGAGGGATAAGAGGTGATTTTTATTGTCTTCTTTATAACTTTGTGAGCTTTATTTTTAAATAAGCAAATAACACTTTCAAAATAATTTTTAATTTTTTTTTAAATTTTGGAAACACATTTTAAAATGCACATACCTACATACTTAAGTGGTTGAACCTAAGTTCATTTAAATATCCATTCAACACACTTTGCATTATAGTCTTAGAGACGAATCAAACAACAACATGAGCTCAGTTATAAATATGTACCATATCGCCTACAAACACCATAAAATACCAGGCACTGTCAAGATATCAATTTAAATCGACCCCTGGCTGAGTTTAAATGTATCAGGCATTTGTCAAATACGTGTATGTTTTCCCCTACAAGACTATAAGCTCCTTGAGAACATGGATAATTATTTTATTTTAATTTAATTTAATTTATTTTATTTCCCCAGAGATGGTAGTCATTAAGTTTATTGACGAACTGTGACAGGCTATATATCAATCTTTTAAAAGAAATAGATGAACCAGCTGCTAACTAAGTCATGTACAGAGAATGCCTACAAGCTCAGACCATCTCATTCTCAAAAGCAGAAGGCACATGCACACAGGGGATGGTGAGGCTGAAGAAAGAAAATGAAGTGATGGCAAAGAAAAACCCAACCAAGTGTCCAGGGCCCATAACCTAGGGAGAACCAGGATATAGTCTTGATATATGAACTCTCACAAAGACTGTTTACTTATTGCCAGAAATGAGTAACACTACTTTGAGAGTCTAAAATACAAAAACACTTATTTTTCCTACAGAAATAAACATGAATCAAAAAAGTCAAGAATTTATATGGAAGTGCTAAATATTATAAGAGGCTATTAACAATACTATTTTTAATCTATAAAAGATATCCTTACACATTCAAACCAGGTTGGGAAAGCCCAATACAAAGAATAAATGATCATTACCATGAGAAAGACATCTAAGCCCTAAATAAAATTTTTTATCCCATATACGCAGTTCACAGTTCCTTTTCCAATTATACAAGCAGTGTTTCAAGAGCCTAGTTACACCGTGTTAGTTTAGGTACATCCTCAAGAAGAATGTCTTAGGTGAAGGAGAGAATAAATAACTTTTTATCTTTCAGTGACTTTTATATAAACTCTGGTGAATTTATGGAAAAAAAAAGCCTTTGCCTGTCAGAAAGTCTAGGGAGTGTTAGATATATTTAACTGAATACAGAACTTCTAATGTGTATCTTACCTTTATCTGTGAGACCTTCTGGACAGTTAATGGGGACACCAGAGGTTGTGAGACAACTGGCGGTCCAAGGACATGTACAGGCAAAACAGTGGACTGACCTTGAGTCAAAGGCAAAATTTGGGGCTGAGTCAGCTTTGGGTGCTTCTGCAAATACAGTTAAATAAAGAAAAGAGATTAAAGATAAACTCTCCCATTTACAGTAAATATATTGATTATATATTTTAAAATGTAACAGTTCATCTCACCACTGAAACCTGCTGGTAATGTCCTACGAGCTGCTGGGATGGATAAATTTTCCCAGGAACTTTTATTTCAGCCACTGGGATGTTAGAAACCATTTGAGAACCCATCATCTGGTCTGAGGAATAGGCTGTACTGGGCTGATTTGTATCTGAGTGTATAACTGATCCAACTCCTGCCTCGGACAAAGTGTCACCTACAAAAAAGAAAATAAGGAACAGGTAGAAGTAAAAATATGAAGCACCAGGTCCAAATGGCACATGAAAGGGTAAGTGTTTATTTTTTTACACTGACAACCTGAGACATCTTCAAATAAAATAAGTATATTGCATAATTCATTAAAAACTATCATGTAAACTCTATGCTGACAGTAAAGTATAACCAAAATTTTCTTAGTATAGCAAAAGCTTAACAAAAATGAATCACATAAAAATCAACTCCATTTGCTGGCCATTTCATATATACCCCTAATTAATCTATACTTGGCATTAGGATTTCAGTAAAATCTAAATATCATATTCTTTCTCATTCTCCTAGAACCTGGATAGAAAATAATACTATCTTATACAGCAATTAGTTATTACTATGAAAAAACTGTATACTTCTAGAAAAGAGAATGTATTACAATAGAAAAAAATTAGAGGAACTGTTAATTTTATACTGGAGTCCAAAATGCAAAGTGCCTTAAAGTCTAAAATATTCCTTCTTGAAAAATAAATCATATCTCTAGTTCCTAATTTTATTTTTTTAAAGGACTTATTTTATACTCTTATAATGGTAAAAATAAAACTATTAATGATCCTTATGCCACTAGCACCTTGGACAAGTCACTTAACAGAACTTAATTTTAAGAACTTAGTTTCTTAATTTTATTTTACTTTTTAAAGTTATTTTGTTTTTATTTTACTTTTTAAAAATTTTATTTATTTAATTTTAGACAGAGGGGAAGAGGGAGAAAAAGAGGGAGAGAAACTTCAATGTGTGGTTGCCTCTCATGCGCCCCCTACTGGGGACCTGGCCCACAACCCAGGCATGTGCGCTGACTGGGAATAAAACCAACAACCTTTTGGTTCACAGGCCAACACTCAATCCACTGAGCCACACCAGACAGGACAGTTTCTTAATTTTAAAATAAAACTAATTGATCACTTCTCAGCCTTTTGGTTCTAAGATAAAGTGTAAAATAAAAATTAGCCGGCTGGTCTGTTTCAAAGATTTTATAAAAGAATTGATAAAAATGATAGATAACAGAATGCTTTGAAAAATGCAAAGTACTATTCAATAATAAGGGAACATAATTACACATATTTGTTTTCATGAATTACAACTGTGTTACCTATAACATAGGAGCAGTGCTGCTGTGGTTTTCTTAATAGAAACTGTTGTCGCACTTGTTGATCGACTTCAGTTTCTTCACATTCAGTCACAGTATGCTGAGCATGAGCAGGGGGCAAAGTTGTATTCTGGAGTTGAGGGAAAACATTCCTCATAGACTTGCACCGAGAATCCCTGCGTTCTTCCAAACAGCCAGCTGGCTTCTTCTCTCTTGTCTTCTTTATCAGGGTCACCCGGTCTCTAATGGACTTAGCAACAGCTTTGGAATCACTTTCATGGAAGAATCCTGACTTGACCTACAAATAAAACATAATGAGCAAACTACAGCTTTAACATTTAAGACTTTAACCATTTTTTTTACTAATGGAGTTATTTTGTGCCCCCAAATTCTAAATGTTATTAAATAACAGTTAGTTTCTATGCTCTTCTTAATCAGACATATGTAAATGTGAGAGACTTTAATGAGGGTTAAAAAAATAATATCACCAAGCACTATTGAAATAACTCTGGCCTTAAAACAAGCAAATAGCTTTATGTTTCACTACATGCAGTCTTATTACAGCCATTTATGACTGCCATTAAGTTTTGTGAAAGATTAAAAAGTTTTCCTCATTCAGCAACATTAAGTTCCTATAATGGACTCCAGAGACAAACAGGTGAATAAGATGGCCCTTTGTCCTTTATGAGCACACAACCTGGTCATGAGGGATGGATAGAAATGTAACTTAAAAGGAAATAAGAGGTAAAAAATGAGTATTTACAAAAGTCCTAAAGGAGCACATGCCTCTCTGGGTGAAGTAGAGAAAGTATCACAGGGGAAGGTAAACTCTGACCTAAATTAAAACAAACAAACAAACAAACAAACAAACAAAAAGGAACTTACATGCTATTGAATATAGACATTTAGAGAGCAACACTATAGGCAGAAAGAAGTATGCTAACAGCAAAGTACTACAGCTTACTAGGTATTAGTGGAGTGAGAGATAAGTTAAAAACTTGTTGTCTGAGACAAATAGGGCTGAGTAGCAGAAAAGACTTGAGGAGGTGCCATGGCATACCACTCTCAGTCCTACTACAATCTGTTTTTGAAACCATGTCATGGGGGTCTGCAGACTTGGGGAAATTTCATAGCAGTTGAAAAACGATTAGATTTTTAGATGGAGCCCAGACTGGTGCAGTTTGGTTAGGAGTTGTTCTACAAGGGAAGAGATCACCATTTCCATTCCCTGCCTAGGTTGCAGGTTGGGTCCCAGGCTGGGGCACATACAACATACAACAGACCACTGATCGATGTTTCACTCTCACACTGATATTTCTCTCCCTATATTTCTCCCTCCCTTCCCCCACATCTCTAAAAACAGTCTTTTTTTCAAAGGTCACTTTTCTTTAAAAAACAATGTTAGATAGAGTCCATATATTTAATTTGACTCCCTTCGAAAATGCCAAAAAAGAAACCCCATAGTAAATGTATTTTTAAATTATAAACTTACAAAGGCAGGGAGAATAAGCGTAAGACAACAACAATATTTTGGACTCTTTCGAACATAGAAAAAAAAACAAGTAAGTAAAAACTGACGTAGCAGACCTGAAAAAGGTCAATTAGGGAAAACGGATAATTATTCCCACATACTAAACAATGGTTATGAGACACAGGGACAGGTAGTTATCAGGTATTTCCATATGTGGGTCAAGTCAAAAGAGATGACTAAAACAAGGAAGACTATGTGAAAGGGTTCTGAGAAGTAGATATTTAGTTCCCTGTATCCCACCTTCCATTCCACACCTTTCAATGACTGCTTCTCCCCTACCAGGGAAGTCTAAAGTTTAGTTCTCTGGAGAGGATCTCTGGACTATGGAACACCAGGCACAATAGAGGATATGGCTACCATGCGGAAAACAAAAATATTAAATGACCATATGCATGTTGAATGCCAAATGCAGAAACTTCCAGCCCTCTTCCCAACTTGGCTACCAAAATATCAGGAATCAGATCATTACCTTCTGGGAAGGACATTGAAAGATGCCTCTCTAGGAAATCTGACCAATCAAAGAGGCAAGACCTTCAAATATTGATATCAGAGCCAAATAATGACCCATCCAGATATTCCACAGTAAAAGTCAAAGTTAGTAATTCTGATAAAAGCAATCATACAGTCAATTGCCTTGTTAGTCTCTGTGGTAGGTGAAATAATGACCCCTAAAAGATACCCTATCCAAATACTTAAACCTGTGAATATGATGACATATAACTGTACTATGAACAGTTCACCTTAAGGTAGCGAGATTATCTGGGTTAGCCTTTTACGAGCTGGTGATACTAGAAAAATTTACATGCCATTGCTAACTCTGAAGATTAAGTAGGGGCATGTGAAATGACTGAAAAACGGCCTTTAAGAGCTGAAAGTGACCCCCTAGCTAACAGCCAGTAGGGAAATAGAGAACTTAGTGTTAAAACTGCGTGAAATTATTGGATAAGCCGAAAGGCAGATTCTCTACCAGAGACCCAAGATCAGAGACTAGGCAGCCAATACCTTGACTTCAGCCTGTCAAACTTCAAGCAGAGAATCCGGTGAAGCCCACCAGGACTTCTGACATACAGAGCTGAGATAATAAATGAGTGTCGTTTTAAGCCACTAAGTTTGTGGTAATTTGTCTTACAGCAATAGAAAACTAATACGGTCTCTTTATTAATCATAAACAGCTGGCAAAAAATTACCAGAAATATGAGAAAAAGCCTTTAACAAGAAGATGGGAGCACAAAAGTAACAGGAAAACACAGCAGCCTGGAGAAAACAGACTGCAGGGAGAAAAAAAAATGTCAAAGACACTCCCTTTAAGAATGTTAAAAAATAATATTGCATCCACAAAGCAAAGAACAAGATATTTTACTCTAAAAAAGAAACAGATGAAAATTAAGAACTCTTGGAATTAAAAACATGATAGCAGACATGAAAAACTCACTGGAAGGGTTAGAAGATAAAGGTGATAATATCTGCCAAAAAAGAAGAATAAAAAGACAAAGAAGATGAAAATTAGAAAAGATAACGAAATTGGAGAAACAGTTCAAGAGGTCCAACATCCATATAATAGCAGTCCCAGAAAGAGAAAACAAATGGGAAGAAATCATCAATAAAATACTTCAAGAAATCTCCCAGAAACTAGAGTGTGAGTTGACAGACTGTAAGAGTCCACTGCGTGTCCAATGCAGTAAAATGAAAACAGACCCAAATGAAAACACATCACTGTGAAATTTTTAAAATACCGAGGAGAAAAAGAAGATTACAAGCTTTCAGAAAGAAAACAATGGGTCACATGCAAAAGATCCAGAAAACAGAACAACTCTGCACTTCTCAATACCAATACCGAAAGTTAGAAAAGCATGGAGTAAAGACTCTAATTTTTTTAATTGCCAAACTAAAATGCCTTCAGCCAAATAGTATGTTAAAAATAAAGATAGAATAAAGACACTTTTTATACATGCAAGCATCAAAGAATTTACCTCCCACAAACCCTCTCTTTAGAAGCTAACAAAGGAAGCCATGACTGGTGTGGCTCAGGGAGTTGAGCGTTGACCTGCAAACTGGCAGCTAACTAGACAAGACACATGCCCAGGCTGCAGACCAATCCCAGGTTGGGGGGCGTGGGAGAAGCAACCAATCGATGTTTCTCTCACAGATCAATGTTTTCCTTCCTCTTTCTCCCTCCCTTCCCCTATCTCTCTAAAAAGAAATAAATAAATAAAATTATTTTTTTAAAGAAGCTAACAGAGGAAGTATGACAATAAAATAAGAGAGTAAGCCAAGAAAGAAAAAAACATGGAATTTAGAAAATATTAAGTCCAGTACAGGAGAGAGACAGAGGAGTCTATGAAGACAGTGAAGGGAAATACCAAGTTGATAGTTACGCACCAGATGTTCAAGATAATCATTCCAGATTAGAAGAGTGTGACTACAAAAACAGACATATTAAAGACTTTCATTTCCAAGATCCCCATTTTCATTGTCCAATTTTTCCTTTTAGCCTCAGGACAGAATTCCCAGATGAGCCTGCTTCACAGTGCCTGTATTGGGCTAAACCTGACCACATGCTGCTGAAGCTCCTGCAACCCCTCCCTTTAAGCACGGCTGCAGCCTGGGTCAGGGGTAGACATGCATTCCACCCCACAGAAGTTATCTGCTGCCATCTACTCTTGGGGGAGAGGGGGTCATGGGGAGATTAGAAGTTAGAGAGGCCTGCTCCCTGTCAAACTGTATTGCTACTGGACAACTCATTTCTGGTCCACACAGCAGTCCCGCGGGTGCCCTGACTGTGGTGAGCCAGGTGTTTCATGCCCTAGACTCGCACATGACCTCACTCACTGACTTTCTCAGAAGTGCCTCTTCCAAACCCTTCTGGAAGCTGAAGTCAGTCTGTGACTGACAGACTCTGTTCAGCTCATCCTCTCCTGGGTATCTTCACCTAAGAGTAACTTCAGTAACCAACAGGGTGTGTGTGTCCTTGTCACTCACATTTTCAAAATAAAACAATGTATTACTTAGGTAAACTATAATGAAAAGCAAAGGAATGAATACCAAAAAAGTCAGAATAGATATTGCCTGTGGTGATGAGGGAGGGGAATACAACTGGGAGGGGCACACAGGAGGATTCTAACATACCAACTGCATTCTACTTCTGTTTCCTTTTTACTGAAGTTATTAGAGTGACACCGGTTAACAAAATTATACAGATTTCAGGTACACAATTCTCTGCATTCTATTTCTTAACAAAGGTAGTGTATTATCAGCCTCTGTACAGTACCTACAAATTTAATATACTCTGCTGTAGAGATACATTTCATAGTAAAATATCAAATTAAATAATGAAAAGGAGAAAATAAAAAGCAATGACAAAGAATAAGAAAGTCAATCCTGGTACTTATAGGGGCAGGGGAAATAAAAGTAGAATTGACTTACCATTTCATATGCTACTTCTTCAGGTGTATCCGTTTCTACATTAAAACTGAATTCAATAGCTTCATTGTCTTTGTGCTTGCCTTTCAATTTTTTAGGGTCCTCCACCCAGAGTCTTAAAGCCAGGGATGAATTTGAGCAATCATCTTCCTCTGCTAACTCCACCCTCAGTCCAGTATCCTCAGCAAAAAATGTGTGGTTTAGTAGGTTCCTGATAGACAACCTAATAAACAAAATACCCATCTCATTATCAAGTCTTCCAATCATAAGCAAGACAGAGAACCTTTAAAATTAACTGTATCAAAGTAAAAGTCTTATTTTTTATATACTTTATTGATTATGCTATTACAGTTGACCCATTTCCCCCCTTTATGCCCCTCCACCCTACACACCCCCTACCAGCTACATTCCCACTTTAATTCATGTCCATGGGTTGTACATGTAAGTTTTTGGCTTCCCCATTTCCTATATTATTCTTAACATCCCCGTCTATTTTGCACTTACTATTTATGCTTATTCCCTGTACCTTTTTCCCCCACTCTGCCCCTCCTACTCTCTGGCTGATAACCCTCCACATGGTCTCCATTTCTGTGATTCTGTTCCTGTTCGAGTTCTTTCCTTAGTTTGTTTTTGTATTTGTTTTTCAGGTTGAATTGTTAATACTTGTCAGTTTGTTGTTATTTTACTGTTCATATTTTTTATCTTCTTTTCTGAGATAAGTCCCTTTAACATTTCATATAATAAGGGCTTGGTGATGATGAACACCTTTAACTTAAGCTCAGGTGGGAAGCACTTATCTGCCCTTCCATTCTAAATGATAGCTTTGCTGGATAGAGTCATCTTGGATGTAGTTCCTTCCCTTTCATGATGTTGAATACTTCTCTCCAGCCACTTTTTCCCTGCAAGGTTTCTTTGGAGAAATCAGCTGATAGTCTTATGCCACTCCTTTGAAGGTAACTGTCTCCTTTCTTCGTGCTGCTCTTAAGGTTCTCTCTTCTTTAATCTTGGCTAATGTAATTATAATGTGCCTTGGTGTGTTCTTCCTTGGGTCCCACTTCTTTGGGACTCTCTTGAGCTTCCTGGACTTCCTATAAGTCTATTTCCTTTGCCAGATTAGGGAAGCTCTCCTTCATTTTTTTTCCAAGTAAGTTTTCATTTTCTTGCTTTTCCTCTTCTTCTCGTACCCCTATAATTCCGATGTTAGAAAGTTTAAAGTTGTCCTGGAGTTTCCCATGCCTCACCTAATTTTTTGGAATTCTTGTTTCTGCATTCTGTTCTGGTTGAATGTTTACTTCTTCCTTCTGGTCCAAACCGTTGACTTGAATCCTGGTTTGGTTTGCTTCCCTTCACTGTTAGTTCCCTATATATTTTCCTTTATTTCACTTTTCATACTCTTCCTTTTTTCCTCTATTCTGCACCCATATTCAACCAATTCTGTGAGCATCCAGATTACCAGTGTTTTGAACATGCAGGGATGTTCAACCAATCAGAGTTCAAACATCTGATAGGTTAGCTATCTCTTTGTCATTTAGTTGTATTTTTTCTGGATCTTTGATCTGTTTTTTGTTTTGGTTTGGTTTTTTCAGTGTGCCTGTTACACAGTAAGAGACAGAGAGACTTAGGTGTTCACCAGGGTGGTGGAAACAATATTGCTGCACTGTGGCGCTGCATGTGGGGGAGGGGTCTGAGAGGGAATATTGCTGCTTCATCCACTCTCTGCAGGCTTTCAGTCACTTCCCCCGCTACCCACAAATTGGGCCCTTCTGGTGCTGATTCCCGGGAGGGTGGTTTTAGGGCCCTGTGGGTCTCTCCAACGAACTGTCCTGTGAGGCTGGGAATTTCTCCCACTGCCTCCACCCTCACTGGGTTTTTCAGTCAGAGGTTTTGAGGCTTTATTTCCCCGCCTGGAACCCTGGGTTGCATGGCTTATCTCACTCCCCAGTTGTTCCTCCTGGTTTACCTACACTCAAATGTGGGAAGGCTAGGACCACCAGCTCTGCCAGCCGCCACTTTGCTGAGACTACTGTCCGCCCCTCCTACCGGTTTGGATGAATGTTTCTTCTTTAAATCCTTGGTTGTCATTCTTACACACAGTTTGGTTTTCTGTCAGTTCTAGTTGTTTTTTTCTTTTTAAATTTGCTGTTGTCCTTCTTTTGGTTGTGTGAGGACGCACAGTGTGTCTTCCTAAGCCTCCATCATGGCCGGAAGTCAAAAGTCTTATTATTTTAAGTATATTTTATTGATTATGCTTTTTCAGTTTACCAAATATTTTTTCCCTTTATCCTCCCTCTGGCCTGCACACCCCAACAGTCCAGCATCCCCCTTACTTAGATCATGTCCATGGCTTGTACATATAAGATCTTTGTCTTCTGCTTCCTATACCATTTTAACATGTTCCCATCTATTTTATGCCTACCAATTATGCTTCTTATTCCTGTACCTTTCCCCCGATTCTTCCCCTCCTCCTCCCCACTGAAAACCGTCCATGTGATCTTCATTTCTGTGGTTCTGTTCTTGTTTTAGTTGTTTAGTTTTTGTTTTCATTTTTTTATGTTCAGTTGTTGATAGCTGTGAGTATACTGTCATTTCACTGTTCATAGTCTTTGATCATCTTGTATTCCTTAGATAAGTCCCTTTAACATTTCATATAATAAAAGCTTGGTGATGATGAACTCCTTGAACTTCACCTTATCTGGGAAGCACTTGATCTGCCTTTTCATTCTAAATGAAAGCTTTGCTGGATAGAGTCATCTCGGATGTAGGTCCTTGCCGTTCATGACTTGGAATACTTCTTTCCACCCCTTTCTTGCTGCAGGGTTTCTTTAGAGAAATCAGCTGATAGTCTTATGGGCACTCCTTTGTAGGTAACTCTCTCCTTTCCTCTTGCTAAAGATTCTATCTTTATCTTTAATCTTGGGTAACTTAATGATGATATGCCTTGGTGAGTTACTCTTTGGGTCAAATTTCTTTGGAACTCTCTCTGGGCTTCCTGGATTTCCTGGAAATCTATTTCTTTTGCTAGGTTGGGGAAGTTTTCCTTTATTATTTGTTCAAGTAACTTTTCAACTTGTTGCTCTTGTTCTTCTCCTTCTGGCACCCCTATGAATCTGATGTCAAGAGTTTTTCAAGTTGTCTCAGATGTTCCTAAGTCTCTCCTCATTTTTTTGAATTCTTGTTTCTTCATTCTATTCCACTTGGATGTTTATTTCTTTCTTTTCTTCTAAATTGTTGGTTTGAGTCCCGGTTTCGTTCCCTTTATTGTCGGTCCCCTGTATATTTTGCTTTGTTTCACTTTGGGAAGCCTTCATTTTGCAACCAAGCTCAATCAGTTCTGTGAGCATTCTGATTACCCGTGTTTTGAACTCTGCATCAGATAGCTTGGCTATCTCCTTGTCACTTAGCTCTTTTTCTGGAGTTTTGATATGTTCTTTCATTTAGGCCGTATTTGTCTTGGTGCACCTGTTATGTTATAAGGTGGCAGGTCCTTAGGTATTCCCCTGAGTGGAACAACCCTCTTTGCTGAGTTGTGGTGCTCTTTGTGAGCGAGGGGTCACAGAGGGAATAATGCGACTTCCTTGCTTTAGCCCCACTTTTCAACGAACTCTCTCGTGTGAGACTGACAGTTTCTCTGGCTGTGGTATCCCCCACAGTAGTTTATAGCTAGCTTTGAGTCTTTAGTTTCCCAGTCAGACAGTTCTGCCTTGTCACACGTTCTCTCCCAATGGCTCCTGGCTCAGCCCTTCCTACTGGTCTGGGTGACTGTTTCTTTAATTCCTTGGCTGTCAGAGTTCCACACAATTTGATTTTCTGGCAATTCTGGTTGCTAATTGTTTTTGGATTGGTTGTTATCCTCCTGTTGGTTGTGTGAGGAAGCTAAGCATTTCTACCTATACTTCCATCTTGGCCGGACCCCTGAAAAGTGTTATTTTAAAATTTCTATTAATTAAATGGCCCTAGCTGCTGTGTCTCAGTGGGCTGAGCTCCAGACTGAGAACCAAAGGATCACAGTTTGATTCCCAGTCAGGACACATGCCAGGATTTCAGGACAAGGCCCCAGTAGGGGGCGTGTGAGAGGCAACCACACATTTATGTTTCTATCCCTCCCATCCCCTCTCTAAAATAAATAAAAAAATAATTTTAAAAATTCTATTAATTAAACCATTATTCTGGTTTGTCATAAAAACAAAATATTGTATCTAACTTATTACTATCAAGGGTGCAAAAATTTCCAACTAACATGCATTTGTAATGACATTAATTAAAGATTACTAGTAGTAATATATCTAGACACTGAAGTTTAACATACCTTAAAGTATGCCTAAAGAGAGTTGGAGAAGTGCTTCAGTACATGTTACATGGATTGAGTAACTTCCCTAAACCACTGCCTTAAGTTACTAAAATTCAAACAATAGATTATGTGCAAAGGAAATGAAAAACTTTTCCCAGCTATGTAAAATCTAAATTAAGTTAGTAAATGTTACCAATAGAAGTCAAAGACTTCATTAAGAATAATCTAGTCCAGAGGTGTCAAACTCATTTTCACCAGGGGCCACATTAGCCTAGCAGTTGCATTCAAAGGGCTGAATGTAATTTCAACTCCTTAACAGTTAAGGAGTAGTTACATTTATACAGTCCTAAAATTATTTCCATCCTAAGCCCAGGCTGGCGTAGTTCAGTGGATTGAGAGCGGGCTGTGAACCAAAACATCACAGGTTCGATTCCCAGTCAGGGCACATGCCTGGGTTGCAGGCCACGGCCCCCAACAACTGCACATTGATGTCTCTCTCTCTTTCTCTCTCTCTCTCTCCCCCCTTCCCTCTCTAAAAAATAAATAAATAAATACATAAAATCTTAAAAAAAAATTTCTTTCCATCCTTTGAAGGCAACCGCGGGGCTCATATGTCCCCCGGTGAAAATGAGTTTGACACGCCTGATCTACTCACTGTATGTCACTCTTTGGAGAGTGCCGTGGGTGAAGCTAATTTATAATTTAGTTCAGCCAAGTCCCATGGTTTTCTTAAAGTATTTACGTCTAGTGTTTTAGTCCAAAGTATACATGCAGTAGATACAGGACTATCCTAATATCAGAGATTAACCATCTCTGTAGAGACGAAAGTACAGGGGTTCAAAAGATTCTTTTACAAGCTGGGGCCATTAATTTCCTTTTCTTTAATGAACTTCTAAAATAGATATATAATATCTAACTTATCTGTATTACAGACCAGGGAGAACAAACACGGTGTATTCCATAATGTTTACGTAGAAAGCCCCTCCTGTAGAATTTGTAACAGATAATACATGTCATCCTGCAAGTAAAGGATTTAAACCTTCTACATTTTTAGCGGTCAAGAGACAAATACTTAACTAAGACAGTATTATAAAAAAAAGATTAATTTTGTTCAGACTAGTTTTAAGGTTAAGGTGAGATGTGTTTAATCAGACACAACCAAGTTAAGCCCTCTGACTCACAATAATAATTTTACCAAAGTATTTTACTAAGGAATAATTATAGCAATAGCCAGAGACACCATTCATTAAATACTTATTACTGTTAGGTGTTTTGTATGTACTCATTATCTTTTTAATCATAAAAATAACACCCTTTTTGAGTAACAGTCAAGTAATTTGCTCAATATCACACTGGCTAAATGAGTCCAGATTTCAATCTTACTCTCACAGTGAAGCCTGTACATTTTCCAATAAAATAATATGGCATGAATCCTGTTCAGTATTCCAGTGTTCTTCAGTAATAAATCATAATTAGTGATAAGACTGTATAAACAACAATCAGAATCCAAACTAAAATGGCTACTTCAACACAGTAGTTTTAACCTTGCTTAAAAAAAGCATAACTAGCCCTGGTTGGTGTGGCTCAGTGGACTGAGTGCCGGCCTGCAAACCAAGGGGTTGTTGGTTTGATTCCCACTGGGGCATATGCCCAGATTGCAAGGCCAGGTCCCCAGTGGGGGATGCAAGAGGGGCAACCACAGATGGCTGTTGATCTTCCTCTCTTTCTTCTCTAAAAATAAATATAATCTTTTAAAAAGCATGCCTAAACTCCTACAACTCAAAAATAAATGAAACAATTTTTTAAAGGGCAAAGGATTTAAGTAGACATTTTTCCAAAGATATACAAATGGCCAATAACTACACGAAAATATACTCAACATCATTAGTCATTAGGGAAATGCAAATCAAAACCACAAGAAGATACCATTTCACACCCATTAGGATGGCTATTACAAAAAAAAAGAAAGAAAAAGAAAATAACAAGCATTGGTGAGGACGTTGAGAAACTGCAACCCTCCTATATTGCTAGAAGGAATGCAAAATGGTACAGCCACTGTGGGAAAAGTTTAGTGGTTCTTCGAAAGTTTCAACATAGTATTACCATATGACTCAGTAATCCGACTCCTAGGTAGATACTAAAAAGAATGGAAAGCAGCAATTCAAGCAAATATTTTTACACCAATTTTCATGCAGCATTATTTATGATTGACAAAAGGCAGAAATAACCCAAGTATCCATCAACAGATAAATAAATAAACAAAATGTGATATGTGTGTGTAATATTCAGCTTTAAATAGGAAATTCTGATACACACTACAACATGGATCAACCTTGAAAACTATGCTAAGTGAAATAACCCGGACACAAAAGGGTTGTGTGATTCCACTTATATGAGGTACCTACAATAAGCAAATTCATAGCGACAGAGAGAAGAATAGAGGTTACCAAGGATTGATGGAAAGAGGGAATGAGGAGTTGTTAAATGGGTACAGAGTTTCTGTTTGAGATGATGAATAAGTTCTGGAAATAGATAGCGGTGACAGTTTTACTATGAAAGTACTTAATGCCACTGAATTGTAACACATAAAAGACTAAAATGGTAAATCTTATGCTATATAAATTTTACAGTAATGAAAACAAATATACACCTAGATATAGCCTTTTGGTACAAACATCAAGAAAGTTCTATAATGAAGCTATAATTAAAACAGGCCTTACCTTAGTGGCTTTATGTATTCTCAGAATAAGCAACACTAAACTCAGAAAAATAACAAAAATAGAAGATAGTCAAAAAAATGCTGGTGGAAATAATTTCTATAAAGGACCTGTCACCTTTATTAATCATAATCAATAGGAAAGTAAAAAGCAAATCCTTCAGTTTGTCAGCACCTGTCCAAAGCTCAAGTTAAAGGGAAATACAAGATAAAACTCAAATGATTTGTTCGTAAGAAAAACATGAATTGTGATACAAATAATCTAGAATACTAATTCTTGAACAAAAAATAGCCCTATGAATGAACTTTACCATCGTAATATAAGGACATGTGGTCAAACAAACAAACAAAAAAAAAAACATCTGGCAAGTTGATCATTACTTTTTTTTAAAACTATCATTAAAAACCATGTAAGTACTTACCTAAAGGTGATACTACAGAAACTCTCTACTTCATCAATTGTTAGAAGCAAGTTAACCTAGGTGGAAGGGGCCCACTGTCTTAATCTGACGCCTCAAAATCATAAAAGCTTGTCACAAAACACACAGACAAACACAACCCAAATTTTGCTTCAAGGAAAATTCAGCACATGATATCAAAGTCTAAAATGGCAAACAAATTGCACCAATACAGTATACTAAAGCCAGTATGGTTTGTTTTCTACTCAAAAATCATACCAAGCATAATTCAAAGGTCAAAAAATGACCCAGTGCAAACTAAGAGAAAAATGCATCTATCGGTTATGTCACTTCAGTACATTTGCACCCACCTTTCAGATTTGTTTTGACGAATACAACCTTCAATGATTTCTTTCACTTCAGGATCAGTGACTTTATTGAAGCTGGCTGGTTTTATGCCCTAGGAGGATAAAAATGTTTTCCAGTCACATATTAAGCAATTGAAAACCCAAATCAACATGACATTTATTAAAATAATGATTTTTACCATTAGACCATATTTGAGTTTTAAATGAGATAAATATATATAGTGTAAGTTTAACAACTTTTGACAAGAATTTTGTCATAGTTCTACAAATAACAGTGAAAACTGTAAATAATCTAAAATCAACATAGTAAAATTTGTCATGTAATATACACACTAATAATATACAGAAATTAAAAATGTTCTCAAAGTAATTAACAACAGATAATTCTCACAGTGCAACATTAAGTAGGGAAAAAAACAGGTTTCTAAAATGTACATACAGTATAACCCCAGTTAGCAAAATATAATAAACAAGTACTTCTTGAAATCAGAAACAAAATCAATGTTATCTAAAAACTTTTTTTATCTTCAGCTGAGGACATTTTCATTTGCTTTTTAAAAAATATTTTTATTTATTTATTTTTAGAGAGGGAAGGGAGGGAGAAAGAGAGAGAGAGAGAGAGAGAAACATCAATGTGCAGTTGCTGGGGGCCATGGCCTGCAACCCAGGCATGTGCCCTGGCTGGGAATCGAACCTGGGACACTTTGGTTCCCAGCCCACACTCAATCCACTGAGCCACACCAGCCAGGGCTTCATTTGCTTTTTTAGAGAGAGAAGAAGGGACACACACACACACACACACACACACACACACACACACACACTCATTTAAGAGATGTATCAACTGCTTGCCTCTGCACACACCCAGACCCAGGATGCACACTAGGACCAGGGACCGAAAGCGTCTCTACTGGGGTCACACGCACCTGCGCCTGAAATGGGAATGAACCCAAAACCCAGGTACATGCCCTGACTGCAAATCAAACTACACCTGTTCAGCTATGGGATGACGTTCCAACCACTGAGCCACACTGGCCAGAGCTATTTAAAAACTTGAAAATTCCTAAGAAGTATTCCTCTATTGCAAACATTGTAAGTCAGTATTATTTCAAAGTCTTTTAGAATGGCTAGAAGAAATGAGCAAATTGATTTGCTAGGGAAACTAGGTCATCTGTCCTATAGAATATCCCATATTCTGAACATCAGCCTTATTTCTTATATCTTCCTACCCAAACCTCTGGAGTCAAACTTGGGGTCAAAATCCACCATTACCAGTAGCTATGTGAACTTGGATAAGTCACAACCTCTAAGTTTCAGTCCCATCATTTATAAGCTGAACATATCACCATCTTGTAAGGATATAAAAATGAAAGCATGCAGCATATAGCATACATTTAAAACAGTACCTCTTATCATTAGTTTTCTGAAATACTCTAACAATCTTTTCTCCAGCCTATCTGAGCCACCCAATTAGATATGAAGTAAACATCTTTTGAATAATCCTAGCATTTTGCTTCTACTTCCCTCATGTCCTTTACAATACTCCCATCCTCTTATTATTTCTGTGCTTATTTGTGAATTTATATTCCTGTCCTACTAAAAATGTAAGCTCTTCGGGGTAGCAAACACTTCTTTATTCATCCATGCATTCCTTTCAATTTCTAAAAAATTACTCATAGCAAGCATCAAATACTGTATCTGTTGAACTACATTTTGAATGCCCTTTCACAATCAGGCTTTTAGAACTAAAAGAAACCTTCAAACCATTTAGCCAATATTTATTATTCAAATTTGGAAAATGAGACCCATCTAATAAATATTTAAAATTTCTTTACAAACAAATGCGTATGTATGGTATCTCTGTTTTCCCAAAGACACCAATACAGAGCATTTTACATGACTCCAATAGGGTATAGGTATGTATTATATAACATAAATCTAAAGCTTGTTTCATTACAATTATGTTAAATTTAGCACTGTTAAACAGAACTAAACCAAAATTGGTTTTACTAAGTTGACTTCAACCAACTTCAACATGAAATATGGCAATTTGGGAAGTAAAAAGAGTAAAGGTATACCTACACTAGTTACTTTACGGTATATTTGAGCTGCATTTTGGCACTCAGAATAAGGGTACTCCGAAGTTGCCATTTCCAGCATACACATTCCAAAAGCATAGACATCTACAGATTCATCATAGTGCTCTTCATACATCTCTGGGGCCATAAATTCAGGAGTCCCTACAAAATAACACCACAACCATATTTTTGTTAAAAAGAAAACTGTATTCACCAAGATTACTTTCCCCTTGTGATAAGGATTACCTGAGTTAATTCCCACTCCCTAAAAGAAATTTAAAAATATAACATTTGTTGAACACTTGCTATATCTAATACAAAGCATTTAAAGAATTTCCTTAACTTTCCACACTGATAAAGTACAATCCATAATGTTCAAGATTAGATAATGATCACTAAAATGTTTTTATTTCTATCCTTTTTTTAGTTACTGAAATTTTTCATGATTAGTAAATTTTCTTTCTTAAATCCTCAGAAACTTTCAATAATCTTAAATATATCCCACAAAAAAATACACGAGGATTCTCCAAAATAAGGCAATATGTAATAGATATTTCAAAGCAAATTTACATTCCATATCAGGATCAGCAAACTTCTCTGTAAAGGGCCAGATGGTAAATATTTTGGACTCCGCAATCCATATGTTCTCTGTCACAACTATTCAACTCGGCCATTATAGCACAAAAGCAGCTGTAGACACTACATGAACAAGTGGGTATAGCTGTGTTCTAATAAAGTTTTATTTACAAAAATAGGCAGCATTTGGACATGGGTTATAGTTTGCTGCTCCCTGTTCTAGACATATTCAATTAACAACTCTCTTTACCCAACTAATAAACTATAAAATGTTAATCACCAATGACACTCTTAGCAAATGATGTGCGCATTAAGGTGGCTAGGCCTAGATCACCAATCTTCACAGATCCAGTAGGTCCCGTGATGAAAATATTGTCACACTTCAGATCCCGGTGAATAATAGGTGGAGTCCTAGTGTGCAAGAACTGCAACCCCTTTAAAATTTGCCTGCACCAGCTCCTTAGGACCTTTGGTTTCATGACTTTAAATCGTTTTAAGTACCTACATAAAGACAAAAAAGACATATTAATAAAAATGCCAAGCTTACTGTATGATCACTATGAAGGTAAATCATTTAAGCTAGCAGATATTGCATGTGCTGTACTACAACTGCCATCACTAACTTGTTTTTTTTTATTGTCTGTTAGAGCAAGACAACTTGAAATCTAATAACTCATTATTTGAGAAGACATCCTACCAAGTTTAGCATTTTTAATTCAAAACAAAAAGCATTCTGATCAGAGTGGCCTTCTGTGAAATGACAGCACAATTTAAAAAGCCCTTCTCTACTTCCCAATACAAAGTCACCCTGGCTGGCGTAGCTCAGTGGGTTGAGTGCGGGCTGCGAACTAAAGCATCACAGGTTTGATTCCCAGTCATGGTACATGCCTGAGTTGCAGGCCATGACCCCCAGCAACTGCACATTGATGTTTCCCTCTCTCTCTCTCTCCCTTCCCTCTCTAAAAATAAATAAATAAAATCTAAAAAAGAAAAAAATCTAAAAAAAAGTCAACAGAGGGTTTAACTACGTAAAATTTTAGTGTAAAGATGGTAGGAAACACAAAATGTATACCTCACATTTAACAGTTAGAAATAAGTGATTATACCATCAAATGAAAAAATTTTGTCAGAAACAAAACAACAGACTACATAAATGTGAACCTAGCCACACCACCTTTTCAGTGTCATTTACAAAATGACATTATATTATCTCTATAATAATTTCTAATTCTAAAATCCTATGCTATCCTACAAATATTAATTTATAAATATTGCATTTTCTTTTTAAATTGATTTTACAGAGAGAGAGGGGAAGGGAAGGAGGGAGAAAGGGAGAGAGACAAAGAGACATCAGTTTGCTGTCCCACCTATTTATGCATTCATTGCTTGCTTCTTGTATGTGCCCCGATCTGAGAGATCTAACCCACAGCCTTAGTGTATCAGGACAATTCTCTTACCAACTGAGCTACTCAGCCAGGGCTTCAACAATGTATTTTCTAGCAAACTTCATTAACATCTTAATTTTTTAACCTGCCCTGAAATAATCTCACAAGATTCAGGATCCTATAAATCCTTTAATCGAGTAGTGTTATTTTTTTTTTTTAGACAGGGAAGGGAGAGAGGGAGAGAGGGAGAGAGGGAGAGAGGGAGAGGGAGAGAGGGAGAGGGAGAGAGAGAGAGAGAGAGAGAGAGAGAGAGAGAGAGGGAGGGAGAGGGAGGGAGAGGGAGGGAGAGGGAGAGAGAGGGAGAGAAACATCAATGTGCGGTTGCTGGGGGTTATGGCCTGCAACCCAGGAATGTACCCTGGCTGGGAATTGAACCTGGGACACTTTGGTTCGCAGCCCGCACTCAATCCACTGAGCTACGCCAGCCAGGGCTAAGTAGAGTTATTTTACAAGCAACTTTTATGACTGCTGAAAAATTATTTCAAAAAAGAACTCCAGTAGCAAGGACTATCAGGGTGAACTTACGTCTTTAATGTTCCTGATGTCATAAGTTCAGTCACTAATACAATGCATTTCTTTCCTTTTAATATAGACTCCCAGGAATCATAAAATCGAACTATATTGGGATGCTGGAGACCCTTTAACATCTCTGCTTCTTCCTTGAACCTTTGCTGCTCAGCTTTGGTTAATTTCCGGTCCTGAAATGGAACAAGTTCCAAATTAAAGCATAGAAATTCTCATGCACATTTCTTTTTTTTTGCCTTGTTGTAATTTTAATTTTGGATTTAATGAATCTCTCAGATATCAATAAAATCTACTTTATGTATGTTTTTCAAGTATGTTTACATATTAAGTATATTCTTTTTTTTCTTTTTTAAAATTTTAATCATTGTCATGCACATTTCTAATACCACTAAAATGAGTGCTTTCCTGGGTTGTATTTATTTACACCTGCCAATTCTTTTCTCAGGACCTGTGTAATTACTGACAGTCTTTGTTAGTTACTCTGACTCCTCCCACACAGCAATGCAGCAGTTTCCACATTTTGTAACTGTGTTATAAACCCACCTGCATGATAAATCAATACCTTCAAAAACATCTTGGAAGTTAACTTTTTCTAGGACTCATTTTGATACATATATTAAATCATTATGTTGTGTACTTCAAACTTATGCATTGTTATATGTCAATTATATCCCAATAAAACTGTAAAAATAAAGAAAATTTCCATTGCTTGAAAAGAAACTCATTATCTAGGGAAGGTCCAAGTCAAGGAACATGTATAAAGGACCCATGGACAAAAGCAATGAGGGGTGGATAAGGCAGGGGAAAGTAATGGGGGCAACTGTAATTGAACAATAAAAAAAAAAAGAAAATCATTATCTAAAAATGAGAAAAAGTAATAATCAACACAAATAATATGAAAGGTTCCTTAAGAAACCCCTAAATTTCCACATTTAAAGGATCTGTGTCAGGACAGGAATAATCAATCAAATTTTAGACACCTAAACATTTATTGTGCTCAAAATATTAATTGCCAACATATTTCCAGACAGAAATATAAAGTTACCCAACAATGAAAGATCTTCTAAGAGGATTTGGACCTCTAATATGCTATATTAAATACTACAAGTTAAGAGAGTAATGTTTGAACTAATGTCACCACAATAAATTCCATTTTAAAACTGAATTTTTAAACCTTCAATTGAAGGTTTAAGGTTGAACCCTAAATTGAATTTTAAAATTTCAATTTGAAAATAAAAGAGTAACGTTTACAAAATTCTGAGGTGAAGACTAAAATTCTGAACCCAAATAAGCTACCAATCAAGTTTATAACGGAAAACTAAACACATTTTTGTGAAAACCAGGACACAGGAAGTATAAGACAGCACAAATCCTTTCTAAAAATAATAGTCAAATAATTTCAATTAAAATGTTGCCAAATAAAGTCCCTAGAAAAGAAGGGTGAGGCAAACAAAAAATAGTAATACGATGTTTCTAATAATGCTTACTTAAAGTTTAGTCTACTTAGAGTTTAGTCTAAGTAATTGGGGCTTAAGTGGTTGGTAAGTTTCAGTGAACTTTCTAAACAGGAATTAAAACAGAAGATACATAATGAAAAGAAAACAGTCTGGAATTGAAATTCCAGATTACTTCATTAAAATATAATAGACAAGAAACAATAAAATTTCTCATCTGCAAAAGGGAGCAGGAGGAGAAAATGGAGTGATGATAGAACTATTTTAAGTTTTGAGGTTAATAGTCAAGTACGCTAGGTTAAAAATTTAGGTATGATTTCCACTTCAAGATGGTTGACAACATATTAATTTCCCTACTTTCCTAAATCCCACCAAAATGACAAAAGAAATATATAAATAAATCCACAGTAACAATAAAATAAGAGTTCAAACAAATAATTTTTTAAAGGTAAAAATATATACCTTGATAGAATATTTTTATGGAACTCAAGAGAGTAGAAGAAATGGCAACTTGACAGAGGCTAAAGGCTTCTTAGAGTTTGTTGTTGTTGTTAAGACATCATAATAACCTTTATAAAGCAACATAACAGAACTCCGGCAATTTTAGTTTTGGTTATTTTTTTCATTCGTTTAAAAGGATATTCAGTACAGCATGATTTGTAATTGTGAAAACTTAGAAATAACCGAAATGTCGATAATAAAGTTTATTACATGCCAGGCACCATTCAGTTCTGTACATGCAGTATTTTCACCTAGATGGTTTATCAGTTGTGCTACCACCACTTAAAACTATTTTCTCACTGGTTTAAAGAACATGATTTTTGCATATTAAGCTTCCACCTATGTTGGGTTTTGCTTCCTTCCACAAATCTGTCTACTCCAGGGGCTTCAGTACGTTTAATAATTGGTCAGGCAAGCAAATTTCCTAGTCTTCATTATTTTATTGGCTATTCTTATCTATTTATATGAAATACAAACATTAAAATCCTTTTTCCAATTAAAATAAAACAGAATACTTTCCAAACTTAATTATATATATAAATTTGGAGAAAAGTAGCATCTAAAAGCTATCTAAGAACCTGGAATATATCTTTCCATTTGTCCAGTTTCAGTAAGATTTTTTGTGTGAGCAGGGGCAGGGAGAAATGAGCTGATACTCTCTCAAGTTCTTTACTCCTGAGCCTCGTATTTAATTTTTCTTTACTTTAAAATTTATATTTAGTAAAAGTAACTTTTTGTTGTACAGTTCCATAAATTTCAACAAATTCATAAAGTCATGTAACCACTGCTACATTTAAAATACTAAACAGTTCCTCCATCCCTTTGTCAAACCCCCTTCTTACCCTTACACCCTGGAAAATAGTTCCTAGTTTTACCTTTTCCATAAAGTCTTATAAAAGGGGAACTATATATATATATATATATAGCCTTTTGAGTCTGTCATCTTTCATTTAGCATAACGGCTTTTAAATTGATTGATACTGCTGCAAGTATCAATAGTTTGTTACTGTTAATTGTGGAACACTATTCCACCTATAGATGTACCACCAGTACATATCTGCCTTTCCATTCCCCAGATGAAGGGCATTTGGGTGGTTTCCAGTTTGGGGCAATTACAATAAAGCTACTATAAACCATTTAAGTACAGGTGTTTGTGTGGACATAGGTCTTCTTGGGTAAATATCTCAAGTAGGATTGATGGATCATGTTTAACTTTCAGGGAACTGACAAAGTGAAAAATAGTTCTAGATTTTGTTTTCTCATCAACAACGTGAAGTACATCTGGGAAAAGTCCCACCATTGTTAATATAACAAGAACAGTTTGTATGATAGTAATATAACCTGGTAGCCAAAGAGAGTGGACCGGAATGAACATGTGTGAACAATGATGATTTCACTGTACTAGTCAGTGGGGGCGGTAGACACCGTTAAGTGAACATGTGTACTGTATGGCCATCACATCCAAAATTACGGCAAATAGAGCAATGAATCTGCATCAAATTTTGCATTAAGATAGAACATTCCTCCACAGAAACTATTGGGATGATGCAAAAGGCTGCAGCTATGGGCAACTGATGATTGGCTACTTCATCTCAATGCACCCACTCATGCATTGCAACTCATGCAGGATTTTTTGGTGAAACATCAAATCAACCAGGTGACTCAGCCCCCCCACAGCTCAGATTTGGCACCCTGTGACTTCCGGTGTTCCCCAAAACTAAAATCACCTTTGAAAGTCAAGAGATTGTTGATGAGATTCAGAAAAATATGACAGGGCAACTGATGGCAATTGGGAGAACTGTGTGAGATCCCAAGGTGCCTACTTTGAAGGGGACTGAGGCATCATTGTCCTATATATGATGTTTCTTGTATTTTTATCTTTCTTCAGTTTTTCATATTATATGGCAGGATACCTTCTGGACAGACCTTGTAAATGAGTTTCTCCACATACATCATCCTCACCAGCAGCTTTTTTTTAAATTATTTGTTTGTTTGGTTGGTTTTTAGCCATTCTAATAGGTATAATGGGAGTACAAAATTATAGCTTCAATTTCCACTTCCCTAAGGATTATGATATTGAGCACTTTTTTCATGTGCTTACTTGCCATACATCTGTCTTCTTTAGTGAAATGTCTGTTCAAATCTTTACTCCACTTTTAAATTGGCTTGTTTTATTCAGTTGAGTTTTGAGAATTCTTTATAGATTCTGGATATAAGTTCTTTGTCACATATGTGATCTGAAAATAGTCTCTGCTAGTCTGTGGATTATATTTTCATTTTCTTAACAATTTATTTTTTAATTGCAATTACATTCATCATGAAAATTTTTTAATTTTACTGAACTTATTAGGGTGACATCAGTTAATAAAATTATATAGGTTTCAGGTGTACAATTCTGTAATACATCATCTGTATATTATACTGTCTATTTACTGATTTTTTTTCTTTTATGGATCATGTTTCTGTTGCTATATCCAACAACTCTTTCCCTAAACAAAAGTCAAAAGAATTTTCTCATGTTTTCTTCTAGAAGTTTTACAGTTTTATGTTATACTTTTAAGTCTATCATATATTTTGAGTTAAACTATGATATGTAAGAGTTATATTGAGGTTCTTTTTTTTCAATATGTATGTCCAAGTTTTGCAGCATCTTTTGTTGAAAAGATTACCCGTTTTATACTGAATTGCCATCACACCTTTTTTTGTGTTTAAAATCACTTGACTATATCCATTTGGATCTATTTCTGAACCCTATTCTGTTCCAGTGATCTGTGTACCTATCTTTCTGCCAATGCCATATGCATTTTAATTACTGTGCCTTTAGAGTAAGTCAGAAATCGGATAATATGAATTCCTTAACCATGATCGTTTTCATCAAAATTGTTTAGCTATTCTGCTTCCTTGCTTTTCTATATTAATTATGGAATCAGACTGTTAACATCTACAAAAATTCCTACTATGATTATGATATAATTGTCCTGAATTTCTGGGTCATGTGGAGAGAACTGACATCTTAACATTGTCTTCCAACAACCAATCCATTAATTCAGGTTTTCTTTGATTTATTAGTGGGTTGGTTTTTTTTTTAGTTTTGAGCAGATTCTGCACATACTTTGTTATATTTATACTTAAGTATTTTATTTTTGGCACTACTGTAAATGGTACTTTTTAATTAAAAATTGCAATTTCCAATTATGCATTGCTAGTGATTAGAGATA